GGGGGGGGAGGGGGCGGAGTGGTTCAGTGAGCCAAGTCCAATCCAATGAAGAGAGAGCTGTCGACGCAGTATCGGTGACGAGAAACGTACAGCTGCATGTGGATTGCGTGCACACGAGAGTGTCGGCGCAATCCGTGTTGTCCAGACAGTGCTGTCCTAGGACGAGCGATTTCGAACCGCGCGCTGCAATGATGTCGCCAACGCGAGTCAGCCAAATGTCTTGCCAAGACTGCGATGCTCAAGACTTACCTTTGCATGCGGCATCGACGCAAAGGCCCGAAGCGCAGGCAGAGTCATCGTTGGTGCACTGCTGGTTGTTTTTGGTGAGGCAGATATCCGGGCCGGAGCTTTGACTGGTGCATGTCAAGGGACCGTAGCACACTGCCAACCGGTTGGTGCCACACGGTTGTCGAAAGCCGACAACGACCAAGCACTGACCGTTCAGGCAGTCGGCACCATTGCAGTCGGGCGAGGTCTTGCAGTGCTCTCCGAGCTGAACTGCATTTTGATATGTCGCTGTACCGCCAAGAGGAACAGTAAACAGCTTAGACGGCGTTTCTCTGCGATGCAATGGGACCGCGCCGGGTAGGGAGCGAGAACTTACGTGTGCACTTTCCACCGTTGCTGCAGAGTCCGCTGATACACTCGCTGTCATCCGCACAGCTCTGGTCGTTGATCTTGAGGCACGTCGATCCGCTCTCTGAGCCGATGCAAAGTGTCGTGGCGGCAGGGCAGGTCAGCGTAACACCGGCACCGCATGCGTCCCCAACGTTGAGATACTTGGTCGCGCATTTCCCGTCCACGCAGTTCTGGGACGCACAGTCGGTGCTCTTCGAACAAGCTCCGCCGATGGGCTTGAGGCAGGTCTTGGAGGTCGAATCGCAAGTGAGATCTTTGGCACATGTGACGGTGCTTGAGGCGCACGATGTACCCAGGGGCGCATCCGAGCACAAGCAGAGTGCGCCAAACGGCCAGCCGGGACTGCGACAGTAGCCGGAAGCACAGGTGCTGGCATCATTCTTGAGCCGCGGAAGACCGTTGGGCACAAGGCATTGTTTGGATGCAGAGCACGTCGTCAGCAGCTGGCACGCCCAGGTGCCAGTGCCGGAGCAATCGCCTTTGGCTGCGATCTTGCACTGGCCAAACTGGCACAGATTCGTGCTGCAGCTCGACGCTTTGCTGCATCGTGTTAGAGGCCCGGACAGGCCTCGAGGGCCGA